ATTATAATTATAACCATAGAAAACTTGGTGTAGTTTATCAGTATTTTTTTTTTTGAGGAGAGAAATGGAAACATACTTTTTTACAACTTTTTTATGAAATGTGTTGAACAATGGTTACATCTAAAACAAATGTGAAATACTATATGTTAGATAGCCAGGATCACAAGATGTTTATTAGAGTTTTAAAATAAAGTAGTGATTAATTAAATTTGACAATAGAAAGGGCATGCAGGTGCAGGGAAAAAGGCAACTGTCCAAGTGGTGAAATCATGGGCCATATTAATAAATGAAAAAATAAGATAAATCAGTGTTAGCCAAGGAGAGAATATTGGCTTTGAAATATAATTGAATTTATTGAAGGCTCTGAGTGAGAGAGTCTCTGGAGTATTACCTAATTGGGTGGCTCCCTGCCTACTGGCCATGTAGTTGAATGATCAAAGGGCTGGCACCTGACTCAAGATGGACTAAATCGTTGCTCACCCCTTGGAACATTAAACTTGAAATGCGAGACATAGAGAGCAGTTGCTGGGCTTAAACTTGGTAACAGTAGCGCTCTAGAGAAAAGATCAAGGAATTTCTACAGCCATAATCCTAGAAGCTGTCCTTATTCATGCATTTCCTCAATCGGGGATTTAGCTCTTTTAGATTGCATGAACTGGTTCAGTATTTTTCCAACAGATGTCTTTGTGCTTAAGTTAGCTAGAATTGGCCTTTGGGTTGCTTGCAAGCAAAAAAAAAAAATATGTATGACATTTTGAGGTCAATTTCATTTCTCATTTTGATTCTTATTCAATCAAATATACCAGATATTTTGTTAGTCAGGAGAGAGAGTGGTGTATGAGATGAACATGATTTCTGCTTCATGGAGCTTTAAGTCCAGTAGAGAACGCAGACACTGATAAAGTAATTAAAGTATGGAAATGAAAGGGTGTCATTTACAAATATTTATTAAGCACCTATTATATATAAGGTATTGGTCTAGCTCCCCTGGAACACTAGTGAAGAAAACAAAGATCTCTGTCCTTAATTATTTTAGCTGGGGATGAAGCAATAAGTAATAAACTCACTGTTTTTATGTGAAAATACATACATAAATAATACAGATTCAGAAGGTGGTAAATGCTATGGGAAAAGAAACTTTAAAAATGAACCAACAGGAACAGTATATCAAAAGGCTTGGAGGCCAGAGAGAAATGACAGGGTGAAGAAACAGAAAGATTATTAGAGATAAAATATTGACAGCAAGGTTAGTGGCTCAAAATGAAGATGAGGAGGTTAGCCAAAATAGGCTGTTAAGGACTTAATAAGCCATTTTGAGGATTTTGAACTTTATCCTAAGGCAATTCAAAGCCACTTAAGAGTTTTAAACTGCAGACTGACATGATCAGATTTGCATTTTAAATTTATCATTCTGCCGGCAACCTGGAAAACACATTGAAAGTACAGTAGTGGTTGGGAGAGAATAATTAGGAGGCTTTTGTCCTAGTCCAAGTGAGAAATTGTGATGCCCTTGACTAGCATGCGTTTCATGAATTGGAAAACAGTAGCTGTGTGAAAATGGCTCTTATTGAGGCTTAGATTCTCAGCTGTCCCTATTGAGAATAAATGAATACTGACCCAGCTTTATCTTCTGCCTAAGTTCTTGTATTCTTTTCTTCCCTAGTGAGATAGTATAGATGATGCAGGAGAAAACTGCATGGTCTGTTTACCACTCCACTATTAGGTCTCGATCAAGGGTACATACTAGTAAGCAGTGGGTCCTTCGACCCTCATAATTTATTATGACATCCATAACACTCACATTGGCATTTTAGCACTTAACCAGTTTGATTTGTATATGTTAAAGGTATGCCCTCTTGTAATTATTTAACATTTTCATTTTAAGTATAGATACTAATTCTACTCTAAGCGGTCAGTTACTTCTTTTTGTTGACCTGGGTCTAGCTCAGGCTCTTTCAGTCCCCAAAATGTAGACAGGAATTATACCCAGCCTTCAGCTCCATTGTTTCAAGTCTTGCCAGTTCCAAATGTAACAACAAATGGAAAAAAGACTTAATTCTCTTATCATTACTCCAAAGATTTCCCCTCTCATTCTTGAGGAAGTGAGACAGGAGGAGAAATGTACCAAGTACCACCTTTCACCATATTAGAACATGGTTCCCCGTGGTTCAATAGAGTGTCTTTGATTCTAGAGAAATCTGCCTTTCCTATGGAAGCTGGGGCAGGGTGGTAGAATGGAGGAGTGGAGCTTGAGGACAGGGTTTTTAACTGTTCCCATTGCAATATTTTATTTAAAAATGTACTTTTTGAAAAATAGGTTTCCATCTTGTATTACTTTGTGTCTTGGAGTTTCTCCCTCATGAATTACTTTGCATCTTGTTTGAAGTGAACCATTTTAAAATTTATATTCTGTCCTACTTTTATTTCAAGAACTTACTTAAAATATCTTTCTCTTTGTCGTGCTCAGATATGCATGAACACTTTATGCATTTCACACTCTTTTAGATGGAGGAAATAATGTGCTGATCTGAATAGTGGTAAAATCAGGGTCAAAATAAAGATTTTTATTCTCAAAAGAGTGGACAGTGCAACATCTTATCACTATTAGTTTTCTCCATTGTTAATTTAAGATCAAAAAGACATGGATTACTAAAACAGGCAGTACAACATGAGTTTGGGAGTGTTCACATCAGTGGAGCCCAGAATAGTGGATGTCTGCTCCTTGAGGGCCAGTAACATGTTCAACTTCCTTTTGTATCCCCTACTCTACCCAAGGAGTCAAGCATATAGACGAGACCTGTCCAGAAAGTATCCAGCCATGCGTTATGAAACATAGACATTTACTGAAGATAAAAGATACAAGAAACATTGTACATAGGATGATAGCACCTCCATCCCCTTCAGAGTAGGCACACTGGGAACTCACACAGTTCTCTCAGTTGCCATCAGCTGCCCTGACATATTTTCCTGAATATCATCAATGGCCTGAAATCTCTTCCCTTTCAAAGGTGACTTTTGTTTGGGGAAAAGCCAGAAATCGCAGGGCATAAAATCTGGGCTGTAGAGGAGCTGAGTCACCTAGGTGATGTGATGTTTTCGCCAAAAATCTCTGCGTGAAAAGTGATGCATGAGCCATGCATTGTTGTGATGAAGCTGCCAATCACCAGTTGCCCATAGCTGCAGCCTTCTGAATCATCTGAATAGTTTCTGTGGAGGAATGCTCAAGCTTAACCCAAAATTTGATGCACATTCCTTGTTTTACTCGCTCAGTCATTTTGAGTGCAATGGCCACACAGTACACATGCTCACTCAATGGCATCTACTGCCCCTACTGACTAGTACAATGAAGTCCTTGTTATGCATGTGCATCCCAGTCCACTCTCCTTGGCTACCATGTTACATCAATGTCACACAAACCGTTCTTGTTATCTTAACAATGGTTGGACTTTTTCCGAACAGACCTCATATGCCAGTTCCTTACCACATGCTTAGATGAGTGAAGTAAATTGAAATTAAACACGTTAGAGACATCTCATACTGTACTTAATTTTACAAGAAATCGCACCAAGGATGACCAAAGAAGAGCTTTTGACTAGGAATTGAATGCTGAGTTGTATGACTCTCTAGGGCTGGTGTATGGACATACCCAAGAAAGGAAAAGCCCAGAGAGAAGCTGCTGGAGAGCAGTCTAGAAATTAGACAAGTGGTCTTCCAATTTGAATGTTGATCAAGATTATCTGAAAGGTTTCATGAGGCACAGAATGCTAGACCCTACCCACTGGGAGTTTCTGATTCAGGCAATCCGGACTGGGGCCCGAGAATTTGCATTTCTAACAGTTTCCCTGCCAAGTGAGGCTAACACTGCTAATCCAAGTAGCCCACTTTGAAGAAAAACTACTACATTAGACCTTGGAGATCTGACCCAGCTAAGGGGATCTGGGCAGATTGCCTGCTCTGTGATCTGGGCAGAAAAGGGATGATTCCAGAGATTACTGCAGGAAGTGCCTGGATAATGTAACTAAGTGGGCATCAGAATAGTTTTAAGGGTCTTGCTTCTTCCTGATCAAAGCACTGATGGCTATGCTCTGGCAGGGAAAGGAGAGAATAGGTTTAAGAACTCAAATAGAATCAAATGAGCTGACAAATGAGATGCAAGGTGTAATGCACGGAATTGACTTAGTAACACTTTCAGCTAAGTCAGTCTAATTTATCCGTGTAAACACAAGTGCATATGTCTAAGCTAATTTATATAGGTTTCCCATTAATATCCTTACACTGCAAGGGAAGTTTATGTCCTTAGCTGACTGTACATATGTCAAGGTAAATGGGAGAGGTGGAGAAAGCCCAAGGAGAAGGGAAAGCCCATCCATCCTACAGAAAGGATTTAGCAGAAACCATGCCCTCTCCCCACCACTCACCCTTCCCACTCAATTAGTGCTGTCTGCCAGGTAAGGAGCTTCAGCAACTAGGTATCCCGGGGACACATTTCGCCTATTGCAGTATTGAAATGGAAATGACCTAAAATTTAGAACTGCCTTCATATGCTTCATTGTGCTCAGCTAATTAGGTTTCTTATATTTTAAAACGTAAGTATGATTATTTTGCATACTTACCTGTGTTTTTTCAGATGAAATTTTTATAAGCAGTAGTCATTTAGGACTTTGGGGGACAATAGCATTTATTTTCATTTCAGAATTTTATGGACTCAGGTGGTTTTTATTTTTTTAACTTGCCAACAAAAAGGAATAAAGGTGGCACAATAAAATGAACGATGTCAAAAAGTGAAACATTGTGGTAACCAAATGGTCAATGCTCATATTTAATTTAAAGTAATTTTTGTTGATTTGAAAATACTTCTTGAGAAAAACTGCTTAGTGGTGCTTTCAAGGTAAAGCTCAGCTCATGTATACAGAGCCACATAAATAATGACTCTGGAGACCTTGGCTACACATCTAGCGGTCAAATATTTCAATGCTTCGTTGCTCCCATTCCTGTTACAGGTACATGTGACAGCGCTGCAGCTATGAGTGGAATTTTAAAGAGGAAGTTTGAAGAAGTTGACGGCTCCTCGCCCTGCTCCTCCGTGCGGGAGTCAGATGATGAAGTTTCCAGCAGCGAAAGTGCTGACAGTGGGGACAGCGTCAATCCGTCCACCTCTAACCATTTCCCCCGTGAGTACAGTGACCGTACCTGAAGCTGATTTGCTGGTTCGACAGTCAAAATAATTCTATCATCTTTGTCATTTTTAAAAAAGCTTTATGACTAGTTGTTTTTGTTTCGTTTTTAAACAATTGATCTAAAAACAAGACATGATTAAGTAAAACTGAAATATGTTGGAGGCAACAGTGGATTCCTTTATTTAGGTTGCTTTCGGCAGTGAATTATTTGGTTGTGTTAACCAGCCAATTCAATGAAAAGGTGGCATTTTATTATTATTATTACTTTTCAAAAGAAGTATGCACTCTGGGAATGGATGGGAAAAGACAAGTACAAGCACAACACAATTTATCTTACTATAGTTGAAACAATATTTTGGATATTCCGGGAGGGAAAATAAAGAATATATATGGGAGTTGAAGGTCTAGGTTAGGTTGAGGAAGAGCTTAGCCAACCATGCATTATGAGATTTTTAAAGTGGCAAAACTCTCCAAAGATGCAAGTACATGTGGTTTAGACCTCTTTCGTATTGATTCTTTTATTCTCTCACCCCCAAGAATAATATTTAAAGCCCACAAAGAAGAAAAAAATGTATGGTTTCTCTTTCATACCTTTTTTTAATCACACTGTACTAGTATTCCTTCCTATCAAAGTATTATAAGGTTTGAAAGAATGATGAGAAAAATTCATAAAAGAATACAGTCTACAAGCTAAAGAAAACTTCTAGTAATGACTAAGTAATCTCCTTGAATTTATGTTTCCAACAGAAAAATTTTAACATCATGATATCATGATAGATAAGTAATCATAGTTTTTAAATTTTTTTTCAATTAAATAGCTGATTATGTTAATATGTGATTCTATAATATACAATTTATTTTGGAAATATGAGAACCAGAAAACCAAAAGAATTAATCATATTTTAAGAGGTGGTAAGGAACTCAATAAAACTGTTGGATGTGAAACAAATATAGTAAAATCAATGGTGTTTCTTTAAGGAAGCAAAACTAATAGAAATTATAGTGAAATGGCAATTACAAATATTATAGCAGGAAAAATAAAAAAATACTTAGGACAGAGTTATTGTGTGATATACGTGATCTACAAATATATTTACCTGTGTTGTGATGGTATGATATGATCTTATGTCTTTGACTCAAAAGAAATATTTTTACCAATTATATCAATATTAATAATGATACTAATGATGACATTGTCATCTAAAAAAATTTTGTGAAGGTCAGCAGAACAGGTGAGATAGCACACATGAAAGAACTTTTTAAACTGTCAAGTATACATGTTATAATAAAAATTACAATCATAACTAATACTTATTGGATACATAGCATGTTACAATAGCTATATATATATAGAGAGAGAGAGAGAGATATATATCTCTCTCTCTCTCTCTATATATATATCTCTCTCGCAATCCTGACAGTACCATTCCGTTCAATTTACAGAGGACATAACTGAGGCTCAGAGAGGCTAAACATCTTGATGAAAATCACACAGGATTTGATCCTAGAGATAAATATACTTGTTCTACTCCATAGTCTTCAATTTTTTAATTATCTTATTCTCTCCCTTAATTATATAATACTTGACATTTCTTTAAAATACTACTCATTGTGAGTTATAAAAGAATGCTTGAATTAATTAAGAGAGGATATCTTTCTGGTTATGATAAATAAAGCTATTAAAGCTTTTACATTAATTTATAAATAAAATACTATGATCTCAATAAAATTCTCAGCTGGATTTTCTTAGAAGGTGATAGAATGATAAAAATCTATTTGGAAAAATAAGCTAATGAGAATAAAGGACTATTTAAAAAAAGAAGCCATAAATGTTGAAAAGCCATTCTAGACATGAAATCATGTAATAAAATTATGTAATTTAACTTTTTTTGTTACTGCCCAGATTTAGGAAAGTATAGAAAATCTCAATTATGTTATATATAAAAATTTAATACATATATATGAATATAAGAAGAGTATTATAGAACAAATGGGAAAAAGGAGGATTTAATAAGCGATTGTAGGATTAGAGTTTGAAAATGAAGTAACAGATAAACCAAACATATGCCAAAATACATTTCCAAATGGATTATATACTTAAAGAAAAAGAAGTCATGGGGGGAGATGCATATTTGTCCGGCATTTGGTAAAATAATTCTATAAGCTCTGAAGTAACAGAAAAGGACTCACATTGCAATACATTTAACATATTTAATAATATAAAAATATTTACCTTATTTGCTACAAAAATGCCCAAAGTAAAAATAAAACTATATATAGGGAAAAAAATATTTATGGTTAATATCAAATAGAGTTACTTTCTAGATGGAGTTTTAAAAAAATGTGTAAAGTTTTTAGATAAATACTAACACATGCCCTACAGATAATCTACATAATAGAAAATATGATTAGAAAACATTTTTAAGCATTTAACAACAATGGTAATAATGCATATCAAAACAATGCTCATGAGATTTGATTAGTATGAAATCATGGAAATTTCATCTTCATGAAATTAGTCCTCCTCTGTCCAATGAAAAACACTAACACTTAAGTACTGGTGAAGATCTCAGCACAGATCATAGGTACATACACTGCTGTTGGTGGTAGTGAAATTCAGGAAGCACTTTGGAAGTATAAGAGCCATAATACCCATATCTGTAAGCCTGTACCTCACATCATTTATCTGAAGGGGAAGCATCACAAACAAAAGGGAAAGATGCATAAAATGAAAATGTTGGTGCTTGATGGTAGCACCAAATAACATGGGTTGGGGATGCGAAAAAAGAAGGTGAAACGCCCAAGAGTGGGAAAATGATACATTAAGTTATGGTAACATATACAATTAATTCTTTTTCATGATACTTATGAAGACTTTCTGGCAATGTGTAAAATGTGTATGAGATAGTATTAAGAAAAGCAGAATACAAAATTTTACCTATACTGTCAGGAGAAGTCTATGCATGCATAGGGCAAAGAATGATAAGGTGCCCTGAAAACTGAAACTGATTTGATTTGCTGAAGGATTAGAACGATGGATAAATTTTCATGTTTATTACTTTTTGTTTCTGTTAATATTATATGTATTCCATAACAAATAAGCTTTAAATTTAAACTAAAATAACTTTAGTTCATACCGTGAGCTCAATCAAGCAATACTTCAGCCAACTAGTAAAGACTTTTTGCATTATAGCGAACAGAAATGATTTCTCCCATTGAAGAATATAGATGTATGATGTATTTTATGATGTCCAAAAAGTTTTTGAAATGTCTTAGCTCATTATTTATTATAAGTGGTAGTTGGCAATGATTAGTTTTCTAAATTGCTGATTTAATTTTGTATTAAATGAAACCTGACTGAGATTTTTCATGATTTTTAAAGATAATTAAAATGACTGATTTAATAGAAAGTGTTGTTTTCATTTAATAGTCTGCTTAGTTCATTGTATTTATATTATGAAGAGAAAGGAAAAAACAAAGAATCAAAAGGTTAAAATTGTACCTAGAGTATTTACTGAGTAAAAGATCTGAGCATGTTAACCCATGTGAGAGGAGCAAAGGAGTTTCTGTTTCTAGAAATGTATTTATTTGCATTATTTGCTAGTGCAACAGGTGATGCACACATTCTTAGAAAATGTTTTATTTATTTTTCCATCAAGGTATTGCCCTGCAGTGGTCTTATCTGCCTGTGAATCTATCAACAGACTTGGAAATGTTATTATTGATGAGTCTTCTTCCTTTAATATATTTTTGTACTTTCAGAATTAAAAGTTATCTTAGAATAAAGAAGGATTTTTTACTGCTATTTAAAATCTTACTCATCATGTACTCATGTTTCAAATTTAAAATATCCTATGTACGTAGTGCTTTATAAGCACCAACATATTGTATAATACAGCATTTTGTTACAATTACAAATACAGGAATTGATAAAATTGTTTGAAACATGTGAGTAAGCTATGCTAGGAGAAAATTCCATACTGTCCTAAGCTTTTTGTAAAGATATATTATGATAATGAAACCTTCAAAATATAAATCAGTAAAGGCTTATGCCAGTTTTCTTTGGACTTCTGAGGTTTGCTAGGCAACTAGCATACCTAAGAGAGACCAACCAAGGTCACATCTTACACTTCCCTTGAGACAGAAGCGGCTGGATTCTGTATTGCTGCAGAACGCTTTGCTTCATCAAATCTCTATGGCTCTATAGCCAATCAGCCTGTACTTCAACGCTGTCAAAAGGAAAGCTACAGAAAAGGTAGAGAGGGCTGATTTTTTTGTCCTCTCAAGGTTCTTGGCACTTCACATGAGTAAAAGGAACACATTATTTTTCCTGAAGCAGAGTGCTTCTACAAATAAATGTATAATATTTGGGAAGTTAAAATATCAAAAGGTAAAAGGATAGATATTCTAATTGCACATAAAAGCAAATCTTTCAAAAGGATAAGATTTTCTTATTTAAAACACTTTCATATTACTGAGTTCATTTGATATAAAAAAATTGTTGTGTATTAGGAGCCATTATTGTACCCATTTTATAAAAGTAGGAATTAGCATTCAGATGTATCTCTTACAGGCTGGGTGCTAGGAGTTTTCCCTCGGCTCAAAATGATAAACTACAAGTAGTAAATACAACTTGGAGGTAACAGTGATAGGTCATGTCTACCCAGCGTTGTGGTATTAATTTGAGATTTTACTATAACAAAGACAAATGTAGCGATCTACCCCTGAATCAGTGATTTTTCAATATATGGAGGAATGTTCAAGCAGAAACTGAACATAGTTTTATTAGGGGAAGTCTTTAAGCAGAAGGTAGGACCACATGACCCTCAAAAGCTCCTTTCTACTCTGTGAAAACATGATTGGAAGAACAAGGCCCAAACAGCATCTTAACTTAGAGCCATGTCCAAGGTAGAAGAAGTAAGAAGGGTCAAGACACCTCTGAAAAGCTACTATTCAATTAAGACATTCCCAGGCTCTGCAGCACCTTATGTTAG